CATTCTGATCTGTTTGCAATTACAAAAAAAGCCCCAAAAACCTCATGCTACTTTTCACACAGATTGCTCAAAAAGTCATTCCTAAATTGTCTTAACTAAATGACTGGGCAGAGTAATAGAGACAGGCAAAACTTTACAAAACGTAAATAAATAAACGATCCACAACCTGCAATTATTAAATCCGAAAGCATCCATTCTTTTTCCTGAAAGATTGCAGCAACCTCATTTAAAGGCAAAGCCCAACCTGGTGTGACATTAGGCTATTTATAGTCCTTATTGATCCAGCTTAGTGTGAATATTCATATGTTTTGCTGCAGAAATGTTAATGTATTTTATTTCAGACCCTGTTGAGGGTGTTAAATAATATACAACATACACACCATGTAACTTTTCTAAAACAAAACTTTAAAATCCTGAACTCACACAGCAAATTCCAAAGGTTTCAGAGAAGACATTAAGGATCTGTGGTTTTAAGTCATAATCAATGGATAACCTAGATAATTCCACAGAGCTACTACAGCAGTCTTTTTTGTATTTGAAGGCACTGAAGCAAAGCAGTAGATACCCTAACGTGGGTGTTAATTGTCCCTGAGCTTTGCTAGGCAGCCCGGGCTCTGCTTCCTCTTTGTCTGCTGTCAGGACACTGGTTAGAAGGCCCTGCCTCACTGGCCGTGGCCGTTCCAGGCACAGCTGTGAAGGGGAATAGATCCAGTGGCAGCGAGGCCTCCGCCAAGGGAGGGCCATGCTTTATCCAACTTCTGAAACTCCCAGTATATTAAAAGATAATAAAAAACGTTACAACAGAGACATAAACATTGTATTTAAAAATGTTTGCTTTGCATAAATTAACCCCTTAACATATTTATATTTGTAACAAATTATCATCATAATTACATGATAATGGCAATCTAATGGAATTAGATTTAGTGTTGATGGAAATACGCACTCATTCACAGTGCCCTGAAAGCCGTGTGCTCTAGTAATGAGCAGCTGGAAGATAAGTGTCTGATTCCCTCTGTCCTCTGCGTATGCCTCTGCGACCATGTGTGTAAAGAGGACAGGAAGTCAAAAGGCTACCTTTGGAGCTCTGGGGGGATGTGAGACCTGCCCCTGGTCCTTCTGAAGGACGCCTCGAGAGGCCCCAGAAAAAAAGCGGCAGAAAAGAAGGCAGAACCTGGCTTCCCGATGAGAATTGACAGCGGGCAGTACTGCTGTTCCACTTGTGGGTAATTAAGAGCTGTCTGTATGCAACAAGGCGGAAACAGGAAGATCGTTTCGAAGTTTCCACTTGAACATCTCAAACTGTCACATCACTGATGTTCTTCACTGCAGGTTTGGCTAATAAGTTCAGGTGGAGAATGAAGATGCCAGCGCATTAGAAGAGGCTAAGTTTAGCATCAAAAATCTGTGGGAGCGACTGTGACAAGGGCTGCTGAAGACACTTGGGCTTAATTAAAATCAAGTCTTTTAACCCGTCTGGCTCTCATTTCCTGTTACTGCAGCTAACTTATCTCATGCAACGGATTTCGTAGTTATTTCGGTGTTTACAAAGGAAACATGAAGGCACTGTTTATAGTAGGAAAATAAAACAGGCCTCCCTAGATCCCACAGTAAAGTAAGGGAACAGATGACTACTTCATGGAAGAACATGCAGCTCTTAGAAACTGAGCGGAGAACAATAGAGACATGGGGAAGGAACCCTTATGGTCTGATGTTAAGCCAAAGCCCAGAAGACGAAATACTTTCCATGTGATGGTGGTTGCACACAATTTTCTTTTCTTTTCTAATGAGGCAAACACATGGGCAATATTTGGCCCCGAATAAGGAAAATATTTAAACAATTGAATTTTTCAGGTGGTGGGATCTGTAAACGAATTTTTCCTTTCTTCCAAAATTGTTGTTTGGGCAATCACAGGCGCAAGCAGGAAAACAATGTTGCGCTGTGTCTGTCAGTCCTTCAGGACTGCTCATCCAAATTCAAGTTCATAGACCTGGGGTTTTTATTATTGTGGCTGCTGTTTCGCTTGTTTTTAACAATTGCACAGGGGCTTTTGATGATAAATCCTGAGGACCGTTGAGCCAGTCTTGGCCAGAATCACAATGCACATGTCGATCAGAAATAAGGGCTGAGCAGGGAAATGTGGAACCAGCTCAGGAAACATGCCTCCTAGCTCTCCTCTGAGTCAACACAATGCTGAACGCCTACGCTCCTTTCACTTGGTATCAAGCCGGCCCCTCAGCCTCCCAAGGAAAACTCACTAGGCTGGGCTTTTATGGCCTTGTGATTTATTTTACTGCTCACAGTTGTTTTATATGCTGAGAACATCCTAAATTATTCATGTATTGCCCACATTAAATGTGTCCTCTAAAAGCTACAGTCACACCTCGGAAATATTGCGGGTCAATTCCAGACCACCGCAATAAAGTAAGTAACACGCTAAAGCAAGTCGTAATATTTTTGCTGGTGGAAGGTCTTGCCTTTAACTTATAAGAAAAGCAGCCTCTGTGGGGCGCAATAAAGTGACGCGCAATAAAACGAGGTATGCCTGGGCCGCTGCAAGTTCCTGACCAGGGGATGTGAGCCTTTCCGAGGGTAGGGGGAAGCGAATCTGCACTGCTTTGATGTGGGACAAGAGTCAGGGAAATGGTAGCTTGACTAATATAGGGAGGGAAGGAAATAGGGAAGATTTGTAACGACCATTGAGGCCCAGCAGAAGCATAAAGGAGTCCTCTGATTCTTTGCTGCCCTCCCCCGCTCATTTTATAATTTGGATTTTAAATGAATCCCTTAGGCAGGCACCCCATGGCTGGTCATGAGGGTTCCAATCCTCCTCCAAAACCTCAGGAACTAGAATTTTAGCCTCTCTGCGCTATAGACTTGGCAGCTGCTGTGTAGTCACCAAAATCTGGAAAAACCTAAGTGGGTTTTGTGCTCACAACGATTCAGGGGCCATGGGACGTCCGAATGCTGTCAGGATGCTTACCTCGATGACCCACCTTACTCACGGGGTGGGAAAGGAAAAGATGGCAGTTAAAAGGAAGGGCCCCTGCCTGTCAGTTGGGTTTCTTAGGCTGACTGGCTGACCACGCCAGAAAGCAAAGTGCCACCTTCTCAGCTCTGAAAGACAAACTGACAAAAAAATGGTGTCAGCCACAGAGGGGCGCTGCTGCCTCCAGGGAACACGGGCTTGAGTGACCATTACAGAGAGACATGCTAGAAAGCCCACTTGTGGTCACTTGAGGAACAGAATTCCAGGTTAGTAGAAATAAGCTTATTCAAAACGGCTACATAGCTAGAGTAATATTAGCTCTAATACTAATCATACTTTGTGAAACTGTTCGTTTGGCATTCGCTAATCATCAATACACTAATTTTCAGTGAAAGAGCAGAAGGGAAGATTTCATTCCTAGAGTCAACTTCAGTCAGCGTTAGCCATCAACTCAGCTTCTAACTCCTAGCACCTGCTAGTCAAAAAGGCCATGGTCACGTCTCCACACACCTCCCTTCTAAGCTCCTGCTTTAAGGTCAAGTCACTTCTCTCCTAAAACCTTCTGGTGGCTTCCATCACCCTTAGATTAAAATCCAAGCCACTGCCTGCCTCTCCCCTCTCAGGTGATACTATCCTTCCCTTCCCTGCCCTCCAGCCACACTGGTCTTTCTGGGGCTCAAAATACACCGACCCACCCCTGCCTTAGGGCTTGGCGCTTCTGGCTTCCTCAGCCTACAGCACATTCCCAACCTTTGGCTGCCTTTCCTGATTTTACTCAGAAACCACTGCCCCAGCAAGGCCTCCCCTGAGTCCCCTACTGCACCCTGTTTATTTTCACCATAGCTTTTATCACTATCATAAATTATTGTTTACGAAGATCTGACAATTAAGTTCAGGAACTCATCCTAGAAAAAGTGCTACATACCTCATTGCTGAATATCACTATGATCACCTTCAGAGCACTCCCCTTGGGAAGCTATGCACCCGACGCCAGCACCTAGTCCACCCTTCAAAGCAATTTTGGAACTCTTTTTCTGGAATGGCCAGCAGAGCTGTCGTCATATTACCCTTGTGGTCCTGAATGTCATCAAAATGTCTTCCTTTCAATATTTCCTTTATCTTCGGGTAAAGAAAGAAGTCATTGGGGGCCAGGTCAGGTGAGTAGGGAGGGTGTTCCAATACAGTTATTTGTATACTGGCTAAAAACTCCCTCGTAGACAGTGCCGTGTGAGCTGGTGCATTGTTGTGACGCAAGAGCCATGAATTGTTGGAGAAAAGTTCAGGTCGTCTAGCTTTTTCACGCAGCCTTTTCAGCACTTCCAAATAGTAAACTTGGTTAACTGTTTGTCCAGTTGATACAAATTCATTATGCATAATCCCTCTGATATCAAAAAAGGTTAGCAACATCATTGCAACCAGTTCATGAACTTAATTGTCTGACTTTGTATGTCTCCCCCCTCCAAAAAACAGAGAATTTTATCTGCCTTGTTCATAGTACAGTGCCTGGTACACAGTAAGTCCTCAAAAACTATCTGTGGAGTGAAATGAATGAATGTTTTCTATGCAAAAATGACATCAGTGACACCATCACTAAGAGACATGCTTTGAGTTGACTTGCAGCCTGGGGCGATGGGCTGTGCTGATGCTCTATCACACTCCTTCTCCTCAGGGCTTTGGATAAGCAATGGCTCTTGTCTGGAAAGAGTCCAGGCCAGGGTTGGGGCACAGTATAAAAAAATGGGACAGAAAAATCAGAGCTGACTCATATGGCGATTAAACATAAGACGTTTCCCTCTAACCTCCTAACAGGCCACAGTGAAGAAATCAGGGGTGCATTTTTGACACTGTTGTTTCTTTAAATACTGTATTACGCACCAAAGCCTAATGACCACCTAGTTGCTTTTCTCACAGGTGAAAACAAAATCAATGGAGAGAGAACAAAGTGAAGCTAGCTGCATGCAGAGTAGCCTTCGCTTTTGCTGGGAGAGACATCTAAGGGGTTCAGCATACCTGTCATGAGGAAAAGAAGGCCAGCCACGTGCTGGGTCAGGCTTTCCTCCCAGAAGAAACTGACTGTGGCCACAATGCAGCCGCACAGCAGGACGGCAACAGCCATGCCCAGGAAGCCAGCGGTGATTCTTCTTAAATCTAATCTCAAAACACAAACAGATATTCCACATACTGAGCAGAAGAACGAAAGGTACTGACAATTGGAGAATGAAGAGCTTGTACAAATACATGTTAC